GGGCCGGGCCCCGCCGCACGCGACGCCGCGCCAGCGGCAGAGGGTCGGAGAAGTGCGGTTGGTCCAGCCGGCGAGAAGGTTTGAAGGGTCGGAAGAGACGAAGCGTTTGAAGCTGAGAAGGGACAATGCATCAGGACACGTGGCATTGAGGGCATTTGCGAGATGCGAAGTGAAGAAGAAGAAGAGAAGGCACCGAAGAAGGAAAAGAAGATCCATGTTTGAGAGTGCGTGTGTGTGTTTTGATTGAAAAACGGAAATGGGTTTGGTTTTTTTTTTCAAAGATGCGAACTTTGGTGGTGAACCATGTTGCCGGAAAGATCTCGCCGGCGGGGGTTTTGGCCGGAAAATGAAGCTCCGGCGGGAGTGGGAGTGAGAGAGTGAAAGAAAGAGATGTGAGTGTGAGTGGCAAAGCAGCGAATTACGTTGAAAAGTTATGTCTCTTTTGGAGCCAAAACGGTCACATTTGTCTCTCTCTCTTTGATTTCTGCAAATAAATATGACTATTTTATTTTATTTTATTTTATTAAATTTGTTTTCCCCAAGCGAAAAAATCAAAAATGCATGCCCTTCTTTTCTTTGACTTAACTTCCATTCACTGCTTTCCTTGGCTTAGTTTAATAAAAATGATTTTACTGAAATTAATTTAATTTATTAAATATATTATTGTGATGTATATTTCCATTATTTAATTATATCAAAATAGAGATTTAATAAAAAAATTATGTTAAACATGGCTTTTATTAAAAATATAAGAGTCTAATTTCATACCATCAATTAATTAAAAATTATTTCAAAAGTAATTAATACAAAAACTTGTAATCTTGTTATATACATTTTAATTAAACTATTTTTTATTCATAGGAACCAACACTTTTACATTTAGAAGTGTATTTAATGAAATTTATATCTACTTTCTTGAACATGACGATTTTCTATATTTTACTCGTACATCTATCTTGCTTCTGCTATACCTTCATGCTCCAATCAGTCAATCACATGTGAATGTTTCATTGTTTTTTGGTGTTATGATATATTTAATTTAGCAAAATAATATACAATCAGTGGCAAACCCGTGCCTGCCGCTTTAAACATTTTGTTTTTAGGACTAAAATATTTGCCTGTGGCTGTTGGTTGATAGTATAGTACAAGTACACCCAACAAGATCATATAGACTAAGCATAAAAATTATGTAGGGCAATAGTCCCTCTTGTCTAAAATTAAAAACAGCACAATAACTATGAAGATTCTATGAATTGTTATAATTTATTTTATATGTATATTTACGGGTTTTTTTCAAATTATAATATTTTAATTTAATAAATAAGTATTTATTTTATGTAAATTTGAATTTGTTATGAAATAGACTAATAGAGTGAATGACTTAAAGTTTCAATGACAATCACAATATGGCGCAACGGTGATGTCAAACTCCGATGGTAACGCATATAGGGATGGCAAAAATAGTCACATCCGCGAGTATTTGTGGATAAAATCCGCTACGGATAATAAATTGATAGGTTAATTGGGTACTCGCGGATAATGGGGACGAATAATTTTTTACCCGTTTATAAATAGGGCGGGGGCGGGTATGATGATATCCATACCCGCAGGTACCCGTTTAATATTATTTTTTAAATATCCTAATTATCATTGTACCACATAACCTTAAAATTACACTATTTCATCTTATTTTCTTACAAAAGTGAGGTTGATCAAGTTACCGACATGTGTTAAACATGTTATAGAATTATGATGGATGTAATTTGATTAATTTTCTAGCTTTGATTGGACCAATAAGATTTATGTATTTTAAGTTATTTACTTTCATTTGGAATTATGAGATTAAATTATTGTAGCTTTGTGATGAGACTTTAACTTACTTGTGAGATTGATGTATTTTAAGTTATTGATTATCTTGAATTTTTATTATTATTTTAACAAAATTAACGTTAAATAAAAGTTCAAAATTAACATTAAATTTTTATTTTTAATATTTTAATGACATTAAAATATAAACTTAAAATTATTTGTAATATAATTTTTTTAATTTCTTAAAAATTTTATAGATATCCACGGATGGATATCCATGGGTATTCAAGAAATTCATGGATACCCGCTTAATGGATATTCGCGCAGATATGGGGTGAATATGGGACCAATTTTCATTCAGCGGGGCGGGGGCGGGTTTACTATTACCCGCCCCCATGGGCCCCATTACCATCCCTAAACGCATGCAATAATTCTACAACTTAAATTTCTTAGATAAATGTAATTAAATGACAGTAATTGTGTACTTTAGTGTAGAAATTCCCTTTATAAATAGACATTTAAGTGAGAAAGTGTATTGTGTTAGTTATGTCTATGTATGCGTCATGTGTTTTATATTTAATATAAAATCTTAATATGATTTTAATTAGGGTTTGCTTTAGATAAATTGGACTAACTCTATTAAAATAATAATAATAAGATCGGACATAAGACTGGTCTTCATATTAAATTTAATATTTATTTTTAAAATAAAAAACATAAAATATAAAATACATATAATTCGATGCCACAAGTTGCAACAAACTATTTGTTTTACTAAATAAGTGATCAATTATGTGAAGTTATCTCACTTAAATTGTTTACAAGTTAAAGCAAATCAGTTCCTGAATATTAAATACAAAATATTGCGTGAAAGTTTTGATGATAAAGTTAGTAAGATTCTTTTAACTTGTTATCTAATTTTTTATGATAAATATAAATATAATTTATATGTTTAAAAATATTTATTTATTTAAATTTTAAATACAATATTTTTATATATAATTTAATATAAATTTTAATTATATAATAATTTTTTTAGTACTACACAAAGTAAAATATTAATAAGTTATAAAGAAAAAAAAATCCACTTTTTTTAGAATTCTTTTTTCGATATTTACCAATAACTTAATGGTAGAAAGTTTATCAACTGTCAAATAGCCATTAAAAGATAAAGATATTATCAATGAGCTAAAATATCGGCATGTAGTGTATACAATGTAATTTTTAAATTACTTCCTCCGTCCAATTTTATTTGACGTTTACGATTTTTACTAAGAGCTTAAAAAACCTATAATTAATATGTCTCATTTTATAATTTTTTAATATACTTTTAAATTTTGGATTTTAAGAATACAATAAGCATTAAAAATAAAAAATATATTAATTAAAAAATATTAATAATTAAGGATACAATAATAAGAAATATTTAATATTACATTGATACACGGCAATCAAATTGAACAACATAGAACAAAATGAGTAAGATATATTATTAAATAATAGTATTAATAATTTAAAATACAAAGTAAAGGATAAAAAATTGGCAACCAATGATTGTTGATGTGGCGATCCGGAGGCAAGGGTTGAAGGGATAATTAATGCTACTAATGAGGAGGTTGAAATTGCCATTGCTATTGCCTTTGTTGCAATCTGTGGAAGGACCCCATGAATGCTTTGCTTTGCTTTGCTTCCATCAACTTTGCCCATTGTTGAGAAGTGGTCAAAGCCAACAAATCCCAAGCCAAATGGGAAGCTTCTAATGGTAGGGATAGGGATCAAAGTCACCAATATCATAAATATGTCTCTTCTTCCAACTCAACTTCAATTCATACTTGAAAGCATTTCACAAATTGCATCTTGTTCTAGATATATTTGTTAGTTAGTGTTCTAAAATCTCATTTGAGGTTAAAATATTGACTTAGCCTTGCATCCTAAAGCCACCTACAATGTGTCATAACTTGTAATGAAACATTACACAATAATATATTAGAGCTTAATTGCTATGGATGAGAAGTTTATATTTTTAATTAATCAGAAATTATGATAAATATAGTTTTTAAAATAATTATTATAAAAATCAGTAAAGTTATTATAGATATATCAAATTGTGATTAGATTAAATTATTTTCTCATGAATTATATTTCCTCTAATAATTAATTTTTACAAGATTCAATTACCTAATTTACTAAAAGTAAATAAATTTATTGTTTTACTTGACAACATTAAATATATTTAGAACTTATTTTTTTTTTCAAAATTTCCCATAATATTAATGAAACATTTCAACAACTACTTCTAAAATTAAGAAAACTGACTTTAATTAAGATTATTTCTTATACATTAATATATACTTAAAAAAATAACTATAAAAGATATTTTATATCGAGTCTTGTTAAAAAAAATTAAACAAAACTTTTGATTTAAGTCTTATTAAAACGGCTGAAGAAAGTAAATAATTAATAAAACTTGAAAATTTAACATATCATATATTTTTTAATGGAAATCTACAAACTCAAATCCCTTCTTTATATGAGTGTGATAAAAAGAAAAATAAAGGTTATAAAACATAAAAATACTATTAAAAATAAAATTAAAGATTAAGTTATGACAATTAAGACACTAAATTATTAGAGTCAACCAAATAGTGGAGATAGGAATATGCGAGTGATTATTATTCTAACATTAGTGTGGCAAAAAAAAAAAACATTAGTATGATCAAGTAGTAATTATATACATACAAAAAATATAGTCATGTCTTTAACAAATTTTAATCTCTCTCAATCTTTATTGAGCAAATTGTTACTTATATGTTACTCTATTGGTAATATTTTTCATCTTCATCTCTTTTTTAAAAAATAAATTATGAAATTTAACTTAACTTTATAAAATTATAAAGTAGTATTTATTTTTCACTTATATACACTCTATTATACTCATATCACTAATAGATATGCTCTCCAATATCTTTCTACTACAAAATAATTATACATCTTTCTCTTTAGAAGTAGAGTCTCGTTATACATAATTAAAAACTATTTATATGTTTAGTTGGCACAAATAAATTTTCTATAATATCATACACTAAAAACTATTACATTTAATTTATATATTATATATTGGTGGATCTTATTATTGATAATGTTTATTAAGCACCATATTCTTTTTGAACAATTGCGGTTAATTAGAATTGTACAATGACACAAACTAAACAAGCACCGATGCTTATACTAGTAGCATTTAAAGAAGGGAAAAAATCATATAATAAAAAATTGTGTTGAAACTTTTTATTGTAGTTATTTGCGAGACCTTTTCTGGAAAGTTTTAAAAGTTATTAATGGTAGAGAAGAGATGTCTAAATTATAAAAGTTAAAAATAAATGATGTATAATAGTGGAACCTATTTAAGAAGTAAAAAGTATAAAAAGAGAGATACCTAGTTAGAGATGTTCTTGGTTAAGGTATTGTCAAAATAATCATGTTTTTGTGTCACTCACAAATTTTCAAGCACCGCCAAGTCCCATTCAAAATCTACTACAACCCATAACTTCAAACTTGTGGTCGTTGTCATCTACCAACACAACTACATCGCCACCAAACCTTCCAAATCTTGATAACCTAGAAAGAATTGTGGCAGTGTATG